AAATCTACAACATAAGCATTTATCTGATGGCGTGAGTAATTATCTAACAACGTGAGTAGTAATCGATCTCGCAATGAACATAAAGTGATGATTAATCTTACCGAGCACTAACTTAAAATCTATCGCTGAGGCTTACAAAAGGTCCGCACGCAGATATCAGAGACAGAAAGGAAAACTAGAAAAAGAACTGACTCGAATACCGCAACTAACGCTTGCAACGCCACAGTATTCCCCTTTCAGTGTAAACGTTAAGGAAAGAAATACTGATTAAATTATCGCTAGAACGAAAATAACGGAAAATAAAATTAAATAAAACAAACAAACACTTATGATCGCTTAATGTAATATTGCGCGAATTAATCCTTAAATCTAACAGTCTTTCGCTTAGTTGCTGGACCAGGATATGTCTTTAGTGCACATTGCACTGGAATATTATGAAGACGGAGACGCAGTGGACGGAGTAGTTTCTGAATCTTGACTTATTAAATAAGCGGGCTTAAGTCTATCGATAGTGGCGTTGATACATCTGCCGTCGACTTCTATAGCAAAGACTTTGTCCAAAATACGCTCTAATCGCAGTTTGATATACGGTTGGTCCAGGGGACATCTGTTATCTTCTACTTTGAGAGGAAGATGTGAGAGCAGTTATACAAATCTTTATGGAAAAATAACTTAGGTCTAATGATGAGAGGTTGATCTAGGCCGTAACTTTTGCATAATTACGCGGAAATCCTTGACGAAAATTCGTGGGTCGTTCGGCATCTCTTCAGAGGAAAAAAACTTACTCGATACTTCGAGCGTAGTGCCGTAAATTAATTTCACTACAAAAGTGCCTAGATTTTCTTTGAAACAAGTTCTTAGTCTGAATAATACTATTGGCAGTGTATAAGTTCATTGAGTTTTACTGTGGCACATTAATGTAGTTTTTAAAGAACAATATCATCGTTCGATGATGCCATTAAATTCTGGATGGTATGCAGTTGTCCGACAACGTTTAGAATTGCCGAGTTTGATTAGTGCGTCAAACAGTTGCGCTTCGAATTGCGAACCAAGTCAGTAATCAGATGTGATCAGGCATGGAGCTCCAAATCTCTGGCTATCCAGTGAGTAAAAAATATCTTCGGCAGTATCTGCAGTACAATCCTGTAATGGAATGGCTTCCGACCAGCGAGTAAATCGGTCAATCATTGTTAATAAATACCTGAAACCTTTGAATAGAGGTAGAAGATCGATGATATCAATATATACGTGCTCGAAATTTTAAATAAGATACCTCTACAGTTGTCACAGACATTGACACAATTAATAAAATCCGTAACGCTATTGTTATATTTGAAAAGATTTCTGGAAAACTACTTTTAACTTAAACTAAATATAATTTATTTTAAATATCAAAGTAAAGCTTTATATTTACATAAGCACTGCCTATTAAAATTTTGCGCCCTTCCAAATTTTACGCTGGAACGCTTTGTGTCTCGTTATGCCTCCGCTTTTATTACAAAAATGAAATTAAGGAGCGAAAATCGTTTGCACATAGGTACGTATTATTGCTTACAAATTTATGGCTTACAATCACATAAACTATAAAATATAAGAAAATATTTTGTGTTTTTAAAACAAAGAATTGGCGTTTTTAAAGCAGAAAATGGTGCAACACAATAAAATTCACTTTCTTGCATTTAGAAAACCACATCGAATAAGATAAAAAAGCAGTATGATGAGAATTCTCAATGAAAAATTTTGTACTTTTTCTTTGATAAAATGTCTGCGTCCAGCAGACTCAGCACTTGAACTGAACGTTCATATAAACGTCAAACAAACATTCATAGAACTTATTATTTTCGTTACAGTATGCCATCCAAACGTTGCAGCGTTGCAATTTCCGTTTTATGAACACTCTAATAGCCGCTCCTAAATTCTCAATAAATTCCTGCAAACAATCATGTAAATGTTAAACAAACATTTATGAAATTCTCATTTTCGACAGTATGTATTTAAATCAAGAGATTTTATGAAGGACTTTATCATAAAAACATTATGGCGATGATTCAATAATTGAAATAAAAACATTTATGCCCTATAATATCAATTACTTTAATACAATTAATGTTTCTCGACTTATAATAGTACATACTAGTAATACATACAAAAGGAATAGTCAGCAAATACATCAATATTAAAATTAAATTGTATTCTGAAGATACAGTCGAGTAAATTAACATTATAATTAATTCTTTATTACGATTGGTAAAAGTTTCATTTTCACGCTCGCACGCCGTAAACAATATTTTATTCTTGTCCATCGCATATTAAACCTACATAATAATGCTTATCATGCGGTAAAAAATAATGAAAAAAATACTTTAGATAGTACATTAGCGATAATATTATCAAAAGTTAAGTCCCCTCAAGCGTTTGATGAGCTGCAAACATAATTTCTACTTTCTAGTGACAGAAAACTTTTGAAAGCGCATGTTCATAATCGCAAGCACATGGAAAAAGTGAACACTAATAGATGCAGCATAACGTAGCTAATTGTTATGTTCCCTTCTATTTACATGACGCATTGACAAATGTTTATGAAAATTAAATTCGTGTCATAACTTTTTTTAAACTAAATAATAAAAATTTATATAACTCCGGGAAAAAATATTTTATATACAATTATATATATAGAGATATAT